AGTTATAAATTATAAACACATTTATTTGTGTATATTAATTATATTTAATGGGTAAAAGAATAACTTGATTGGTTATATTATATTTAATGGTTAAAAGTATAGATGCCGCCCAAATTAAAAATCATGATTCCCAAATCCCAAATTAATTTGCACATCCCAAATGTACAAATCCCAAATACTTTGTACATCCCAAATTACTTTGTACATTCCAAATTACTTTGTACATCCCAAATTACTTTGTACATCCCAAATTAATTTGTACATCCCAAATTAATTTGATTACTTTTTGCAACTACTTTTTATATCATTCATATTTCATAATAATAATTTACTTGAAATAAAAATCATAGTTTTATTTATATTTAATAAATACTATTGTTTTCACAACTGTTTAATATAATAAATTTTTAATAAAAAAAAATCAATTATTAATTACTATTCATTAGTGACATTAACATTTTGGTTTGATCCTTTTGATCTCCTTGTCATTAAATTATCTACAATTGACTCTACATCAAATTCTGGATCTCCATGTTCAATAATTTCATAGGGTGGAATTACAACAGAAACCTCAATTCCTAAAACATTTTGGAGTTCTTCATCATCCACATTTATCAATTCTTCAAATGTTACCAAATTTTGATTTATTTCAGATGCAGCCAATTGCTCTTCACTCTCACTATCATTATCATTATCTTCTTCTACTGATCCACCATCATCATCACTATTTTCATCTACTTCTTCATCAGTCAAAGTACCAGAAAAGTGTAGATTTGATTGAATTACAACTTGTTCAAATTCTGTTTCATTCAGTTCTTGATAAGCACTTTTGATTTCATCTTTTGTGTTGGAAACGTAGTATGAATGCATACGTGCCATATTTTCAAGAAGTGAGCAATTCAATCTGAAAATGAACATCATATAGTAAACAAAAAAATTTTTTTTGATCAGCAGAATCTTGTAAATAATAAATAATTTCATTTATATGATATTCAAAGTGTCAGAAGTAAATTAATTACCTAGTATGTCTCTTGTCCATATACCATCCTAAAGCTGAAAACATCCTTTCGCAACTAACATTATGAGGAGAAATTGCATTAATCATTAAAGCCAATTTTTGTATATGATTATTTTTTTGTTTGCACATCAACCAATTTTTTACAGAATGTAATTCAGGAACAAATTCAAAATCATATGGTTGGATTTTTAATGAATAATTTGACAATTGTGCAACCAATTCATTTGCAGAAGTATTGCCACCCCAAGAGATTTCTAAATGCAAATTGCTTTTTTACATATCATTTGAAAAGTGTTTGCATGCAACCCTTTATCTAAATTGATCATTATTTAATCAAATTTTGTTAATTGAAATTATTATTACATAGTAATAGTACTTTACCT